GAACTCTCACTAACAATCAGCGCAAACATAGGAAATGTATTGTTATTATGATTACCATTAATATAGCAATTGATTACTATATTTAGCAAAACATATGACGTTATTGACTGAAATTGAATACAACTTTTGAAAGCTTACAAAACTATTGGTAACGAGTGGTGTGTATGAGAAAAGGTACCAAACATTAAGGTTTTATATGCGTATAAAATTGGGCCGTTTTGATGGCCAATGGGTTGACTTGTGTTGACTAGTGTTGCGCGAACTGGTATTGCATTGAATGGACACAAACCCAACAAAAGGTCCAAAAGGTTGGCTTCAATAGTAGTGTTGTGTTTGTTGTGCTGTTGTGTTGGTTAACACATAAACACAATTTATTGACGAAACTGTAATCGTATGTAATATTTAGCAGTAATAGTGAAGCAGTGTTTACGTTGAGTGTAGTGTAGTGTCTGTGTTGTGCTCAAGACATGCACTGATAACTGTTTGATCCCAAGAGTGACACAAACAATGGCTGAGCCGACGACGAGTGGCGGACCAAAGGAGTGTCACAAATACGTGCAGCGCGTCGTCCATCGGGTCTGTATTGCTATGACTTGTGTTGACATAATTGACACAATTATTAACAATGTATTCAAACCAAACGATCGCTCACTTGTTTAGACCCCACCAATACTGAGGGACCCTAGAGTTGAGGTAAACACAATCACTAGACACCCGACACTACATGCCGTCCCATCACATCCCGACTATCGGCCACACATTGACCACTACTTGTTATGACTAATATTATGGTTTGCTCTTTGTTTTGGTGTTGACAGACAGCGGAACAGATAAAACTGGTGGAAGAGCTGAAGATGACCAAAGAGAAGATCAAAGAGGCGGAGGAAGAGTGGCAGAACAGTCTTCACAGCTGGAAGTCGAAGCGCAGACAATCCAAGAACAGCGAAGAAGGTAAGCCTATCACTACCAAAGTGACCATATGTTTGCGCTTGAATGGTTCTAAATATGTTTGTACGACCATGGTGATGTGATGATGTGCTCCATGTTACCATGGCGTACCTCGAGTACTAAATTGTCTGATTTACGGCATGTGTTGTAATATAGGCCCACTAAGAGGTCTCACCCTTTGAATTGATCTTTAAATCATGCGATAAATCAATTGCAAAAATATTACTGAAAAACAAAATCATTTTTGTTGTAATATTTTGATTTGAGACATGTTTTCGTTTCACTCAACTTTTTATATTGACATTCAATTGAATGCAAACCTCGATATAAATCAATGAAATAGTATTGAAATGAGTGTCAATTTGATTGAATGTAATTTTCATTTCATCTCATTTTTCTCTCGCCATTAATTCATTGCGAAAGCCTTTTATGATAATTGAAAAACTGAGACCTTTTTTAGTGAACCAAACGTTGAGATAAGAGATGAGAATCTGTGGTGTTTTGTAATTGAGGACAGAGACGATGTGTTCCTCAAAATAGGGCTAATCATCAATTGATGCGCTATTTTCGTTGCTCTCCTGTTGTTTGCAATGAATTATTTATCAAAAGTAAAGGATTCACTCAATTGTAGTCTAAATACTGTATTTATAATCAACTATAAAAAGTAAAATAAAATTACAGGAGAGAGGGAGAGAGAGAGAGCCTAATGTCTGACATATTATACCTTGAATTATAAGTTATTAAATGAATATTTTATTTTTAATTTTGTTTCATCACGTAATCACTGTTTTACTGACACTAATATTTTTGTTGTGTGTTTTGTTTAATTCAATACCAAAATACAGTATAAAATAGTTATCAATCTTTCATTTCATCTCATTTTATGCTAATTCTTGTTTTGCCGTAAAATATATATTAATCTTTAAATTTAAGACCTTTTTTAGAGATTTATTTTGATTCATAAAATGAATGGAAAGTTTATTAACTCATTATTCAAAACAAATAATTTATTGATTGCTATTTTTACTAGCATTACAATTAATGCGAGTATTTATTTCAAACGTGGATTAAATGTAAAATAGTTTTTAATTTAATTTTATGTTATATTGTAATGTGTTTTTAATTATAATTATAAAGGCTAGAGTTGTTTATATCGTGTATTGATAGGCATGTTCTTATGTCTGCTAAACAACTTGTTGTAAAAGTAAGACATTTATTATAAATAATTATAACTTTTGGCTAACAATTAAGTGATACTTAATTAAGGAAAACATATTTTTAGACTAAGAAAAGTGTAAATTTATATGAAGTGTATATCAATATTGGGTTTGAATTGAATTGATTTGTAAATGTTTGGCAGAAATGGTTGAACTAATAAAACAAATAGTGTTTTAAATAGTGACTTAATGTTTGGAATTTGAATGCATTTGCCATTAAAATTGGGGTTTCGGGGCATTTGAAAAAAGTTAATGATAAACATCTAAACCATATCTTCTATTTATATGGTTTACAATTAATAATACGTTATTATTATTACTCTTAATATTTTTGATATTTTTTTATGAAACTATTTTTTTGTTTGTTTATAAATAACCACAAGTTTCCTATACAGCGAAACATTCAATTTAAATGTTGCTCCGGGTCTACAAATATAGTGTATAAATCTTGATAACACATAATTAAAGGAAATAACAATAACTACATGTCTTTGTGATACTTGTTGTTTAGTTTAGAAACAATTGATTTGTTATAAATAAGTCTTAAATAAATTTTAAGTGCTTATGTTTTGCTGGCAAATGCAAAATGTGTTGTTTTTGTTGTTTTATAACAATAATTGGAAACAATTTTCTTGTTTTATCGACTGTTTCGGCAGTAATTTTGTGCAACAATTAAGACTTCAATGACATTTATAATCGGATCAAAGTTTTAGACTTATTCCCAAAAGTTTTGCTTTGACTGCAACTCAATATTGGCTTTAAATGTTTGTTTGGATTCAAATATAGCGATAATTGAAATGTTATGCAAAAATGTGTTACAACTGTTTGCTTATGAAATGAGTTGAGAGACGAGAACATAGTTTACGTTAATTTTGAACATTGTATTGAAAATAAAGATTTTATATTTTAATAATTTTGTTATTCATTAAATCGTGTGTTTGGTTCTCGAATGAGAAAACCTCTCTTTTTATGCATAATTTTCTATATAAGGTATAAATAAAATGAAATAAAAAAGTCGAGACATAATTACCAGTTATTACAAGCCTTTAGTATGTCTTTTATATTTATTCTGTTAGCGAAACGTTAGGAAAAGGGCTGAGAAAAACGGTTTGCATTGAATTGTATTCATTCAATGTTATCGATTGAAAATAATAGCAATTATTATCGAAAAAATGTATATTTTTAGCCACAGATCGAGTCTATGAATATAATCCTAACATTAAATATATCGCAGAATCAAAAAAACATTTCAATTTAAAATTTAAATTAATTTTTTATACCATATTTTATGATACGATTGAATCGTTTTACGCATTGAATCGCATATAATATAATTGATGACAAAAATTGAGTTTATTATAACAACACTACTCTTTTGTTAATATATTTTATCCATTTTATTGTGAAAATGTTGTGTTAAAGTGAAAGACAATTGAATAAATCTCTCATAAAATACAAGTTAATCATTATTTTAGTGTTTTTT